AAAGCTCCTATAGAGTGTCGAATGTCAAAAAAGTGCGATAAGCGGGAAAAGGGGAAAATGTTCACTATGGTTACAAAGTGTGCCAAGTCCAAAATATGCGTTTTCGTCGCTATGTGGTGAATATGTAAAAGATGTAAAACAAGGGAAAGACGGAAAACAAGGAAAAGAAGGAAAGGAGGGAAAGGAAGGAAAGGAAGGAAAGGAAGGAAAGGAAGGAAAGGAAGGAAAGGAAGGAAAGTAAGGAAAGTAAGGAAAGGAAGGAAAGGAAGGAAAGGAAGGAAACAAGTATAGAATCAGGATAGTTAGCGTAAAAGAGAGGCAAAATGGATACAAAAAAGAAAGGGATATTGAATAAAAAAGATTCAGTAGCACTAAAATCTATAACGTTAAATCCCTTCCAAATACCTTTTCTATTGAGCGGTATTAGGTAGCGTCGAACACTGCCTCGGCGCCCCTTTTCTGTGTTGCGGTGTTATGTACCGTCCTTCCCCTTGCGCAGTGCCCGGCATTCCCCGAAGCGCCTTGCGGCGAGACTGAGTGCTAGTACAAAGTACCCCTGAGTCCCAGCTACCAAGTCTAAGCGGTCCAAACAAATGCAAGCGGCCCTGAAAATCCCTCACGTTGTCCACAGGTTTAACTTCTCCTCACAAGCTCCAGAGAGAAGCGAGAAATGGAGATCGCTCCCAAGTTGGGAACCGGAGCGGAAAGGGCGCGTGTCATTGTCTGGAAGGTCGCGTAGGAATCTGCTTCAGATTTGAGATTCGTCCATGTGAAACCGCCAATCATAAATCCCCATCTCACTTCTCCTCTCGAGCCCAGGGCAGCGTCGTATTGAATCTCAGACTCCTGCCAACAACGGCTTGGGGGCACTTGGCAGACGGGTCCAATCAGTCTCTCAACACGACACACCCGTTTCACCAACTTCCCCATTGGGGAGGTCGCCACTATCTGCCGTAGCCGCCGGCATCTGTTCGTGGGGTTGCCGAGGCCGGCCCTTGGCACTTCCAACTACCGGGAAGCATGGGAGCATTCGTTCACCTACGACAAGTCCAAGTTATGCTTAGTGATCTCGCTTATCTGGCTGACGAGTAACTACACTTGTATCGTTTGCACATGCTAATCATGCCAGCTATCAGTGTGCCCCGGACCTCGCCGACGCCTCCGGGTCACCCCGTCCTGGCCCCGTGAGCCCCTTCTGGACCCTCCACGGGCCCCACCGCCCTTGACCACCCTCTCGCCACACTAAACATAAGTTCAGGCACCGAATCAAAGCACAAGCCATCTCCCATGCGGGAGGTCCAATGCCAATTTATGAGCCCCCACCGCGGCCCGACCCCCAAGTCGGGGAAAGGCTGAATCGGATCAGGAAGGAAGAAGCCGAAAGAACTTTGATTGTATCTCCGTGTCAGGGGTCGCATTGCAGACAAGGCAGACATGGCCCCGTCGAAAAGGTCGCTTGGCGATCTACCTTCCAGAATCCGACATCGTGGCCGAGAACTAGCGGGGAGGCTCTCACCATGGCCTCGGGTGCTTCTTGTATAAGAGACTAGATTACTCCCGCGTCTTGGGATCATGAATTCTACAGCATCGGCCTCTGCATTAATTTGTATAGATTAGCTCTACTACAGGCAGTTCCCGCTCATCTCACCATGCGTTTCACTCCCTTTGCCCTTGCCCTCGCGGCCGCCCAGGGTGTCATCGCTGCCCCTTCGCGTGAGACCAAGCCCATCAGCCGTGGCTTTGGCTGTGGCGCTCCGGAGCCCGATGCCGAGCACATCCGGGTCTCGCAGCAGTTCGCCGCCCAGGAGGCTTCCCTGAGGGCGTCGGGCAACTTCAGCATCCAGGCCACCGTCACCGTCGACACCTACTTCCACGTCGTGCACAGGTCCAGCAGTGACGATGTCTCTGTAAGTACCCTTCCCAGAATCCACGCCCCTCCCACTATAGATCACCCCCCACCAGCAATACCAACTAACCACCCACCCCAGGACTCCGTCCTTAACGCGCAGCTCGCCACCCTCAACAAGGCCTACGCCCCCTACGGCTTCCAGTTCACGCTCAAGGGCACCACGCACACCATCAACGCCAACTGGGCCGACGACACCCGCGGCTACGAGATGACCATGAAGCGCTCTCTGCGCAAGGGCACCTACCGGACGCTCAACGTCTACTTCCTCCCGGAGATGGGCGACAACCTCGGGTACTGCTACTTCCCGGAGTCGGGCGGCGGCAGCTCCGGCTCCACCACCCAGATCCGCGACGGCTGCACCGTCCTGAGCACCTCCGTGCCCGGCGGCTCCGGCCACCAACTACAACCTGGAGCCACACCCACCAACCCACGAGGTCGGCCACTGGTTTGGCCTGTACCACACCTTCCAGGGCGGCTGCACCGGCTCCGGCGACTCCGTCTCCGACACCCCCGCCCAGGCTAGCGCCAGCAGCGGCTGCCCGATTGGCAGGGACTCGTGCCCTAGCCAGGCGGGGCTGGATCCTATTCACAACTATATGGATTACACTTATGAGTGAGTTCTCTCTTGGTCTGCGGGGTTGTGTATGTGAAAGGTGTGTGTGCTAACAGCCTTGGACAGCTCGTGCTATGAAGAGTTCACTGCCGGACAGCAGGCTCGCATGGCCAGCTTCTGGAACAACTACCGCGCTGGTAAATGAGCGGTTGATGGCGTGGAGTTGGTCGGATGGGATTGCGGTTGCGGAGCGGATGTTGTGTTAAGGAGTTCGGGTTGGGTATGGGGTGATGTGATGGGTGGGGGTGTTGAGTTCTGAATTTTGGAAGTAAATACTCATGTTGATCAAGTATATAGTTTAGTTAGCGGCATCACGATGGTCGCACGTTTTATGAAGTATTGTTACCTGGTACCTTTACATCTTGTCAGCCGCCCGCACCACCACGACCCCCATTTCAACAGCCACAACTCTATCAAAACAACTGCGATTCCTGGCTAAATAGGTACAGAAAGATGGACCCACTTAACAGGTGTGACGAACCTACTTCAGGACCCTGTCCTGTTAGGGTTCAGCTTCGGTCGAAGGTAGTCTCTCAAGGGTGCTTAGGTTCGGTGCAGCCAAAGGGTGCACAACAAAGGCTTGTCTCAACAGTAGGCTCTCGTACTTGTAGCGAACTGTAGTTGTGATTGCTAACTGGAGAACTCCCAGAGCTCTCCAGAACGAGTGACTATATACCTATCTAAGTCCTGTGTGCTCAGTGTGCTCAGTGGTACCCTCCAACTGAGCTCACTGAGCTATTTCTCCCATTCCTGGGTCATGATTGGCTGGCTCCTACAAAGGTGCTCAGTGTGCTCAGTTGTACCCTCCAACTGAGCTCACCGAGCCACTCATGTGGGTTCCCTGATTGGTTTGTTTAGCGACTGGCCTGTGGTTCCGCCCGTCGGCATATCCGTGACAACAGGGTATAAGTATTTGATATACCACCCACGTGCGTGTACCATGGCCTCTAAACGTCTAAGCATGGAATCGATGAGGCCGTCGATACACCCTTGCGGCACCCTCTCCCGCGCAACCTTTAGGCTAGCCACGATTATGATATTCGCGTCACTCCTTTTAGAAGGTATTAGACCAGAAGACCCCGGCGCAGAAGAGCCTTTAAACCTTTGCAATGGGGCCGAGCATTGAGCTGTAAGTGGCCTGTTCCTGGACCTATATGCCTCGGCTTTCCAGCTACTCTTTTTTTTCTCTGCCGTATGCATCGTGGCATTATCTAGGAAAAGAAAGAGTATCAGGGTAATGATACAGTCTGGGGCACTTCTCCAAGGGCCATATATGAATACCACTTGTTTTTCAAATTGCCAGAGTGACCGCAGCAACCACCCTTAGATACGACAATCTGTTAGAGAATCAGGGGAGGCAACACAGCCCTTGAAACATTTGGTCCACAAGGCAATGGCTGTTACCCCCTGACCGAGGAAGACCGTATGGGCTTATACACTATCAGTCCCACGGTTGAGGGATTTGGATATGGTGGGGAAACTGATGATTCTGTTGTCTAACGTCGTGCCTGATAGCGCCCCTGAATCCAACCACATAATGAAAGGTCGTAACGCAGGAACGGCAAAACACGAAACATCTCCATAAACAGGGCTTAGCAGGGGCCTGTTATAACGAGATTTTGTACCCGTTCCATATATGGCTGTTACAATGCGTTTGTTTTGAAGGTTGCGCGGGACAGGGTGCCGCAGGGGTGTATCGACGGCCTCATCGATTCCATGCTTAGACGTTTAGAGGCCATGGTACACGCACGTGGGTGGTATATCAAATACTTATACCCTGTTCAGTGGGTCCATCTTTCTGTACCTATTTAGCCAGAAATCGCAGTTGTTTTGATAGAGTTGTGGCTGTTGAAATGGGGGTCGTGATGGTGCGGGCGGCTGACAAGTTGTAAAGGTAACAATAGGTACCTAAGGTGCTTTTGGATGCCCAGTTTTTAGGTACTGGGAATTACCATAAAAACGACCCTAAGTACCTTGGCTTCCTCCTAGTTTAACCGTTGTGAAGAGCGTCCATAGTGCTGGTACTCGGCAGTCCTGTGATTGTCACGAAATGTGTAACAGTATCAACATCCCTTCCCTGTTCTTACCTACTTTTGATTCAGTGAAAGGCCCGTACAAACATATGGTCGATCCGGTTCCAGTGTGATTTTTAGCTCAACTCTAACCAGGTTTAGCATAGTTGGCACTGTCCCATGCTGGCGGGTGGGACAGGTGACACCCTTTCGCAGATGCAGTCATTTCCTGTGGGTAGTGGGATCGAGGATGGACAGTCCGTTTCCTTTGCCCCCCTTTTTCCCTGCAGCGCAAACTGCAACAAGATCTATCTGATCCAAATGACGCTTTCCATTTCGAAGTCGAACGCTAGCTCCTCAACGAATGTAACCAACCTAGCAACAATCCAGCATGCCTCAGCTGGCACAGATTGAAGTGTGCAGGGGTGAATCGTTCAATGTCTCACTCGCTTGTCCGCGCGAACGAATCACCCCTGTGAGGATCACGGATATTTTAGGAAATAAGCTAAAGCTGAAGCCTGCCCAGGCTGGTAGCGCCCAATACACTTGCCCCGCATGTACGTGTATGTACAGAAGCGCCCGCAAAAGATCTACACCCGGAGCAATTGGCGAGCGGACCGCGGTTGGCGCTCGTCCGACGAAGCCACCGTCATCGAATCGGAATCTGATGGGCGGCTGAGGCGGTACCCCAGTCAGAGGCTGCAAGGACAGCCTGCGAGGAAGAAGGGCCGGGCCGCGCTTCTCATCAAGCTCTACCATTATTGTGGTCAGTTGCAGTCGGCTTTATTGTAAATAGGAAGCAGCGTCTCATTCATGAACCCAAATGGTAGCCGCTCTTGGGGCAACACGTTCACCTTGCTCTCCGACCAGACAACAACCTCGTCGGCCCAGTTTCTTTCTTCCTCAGGTAACATCGTGTAGAATACTCCAACCTCTGCTGGATTCCGTTCACAACTTTCTCCCCAGCACCACTTAAATCACCCTCTTTACATTGATATTAGGAGAACCCTGCTGTCTACCTGACCTTACCGAAGCTCGAAGCAACCGTTAACCTCGACCTCTCGCCGTCATTCTCCATCCCATTCAGAACCCACCAGGGCCCCATACAAAAGCTGACTATTCCCTCCCAATTCCCTTTACCAAGCTCTCCTTCACAACCAGCCACCGCACGCCCCTCACCATGGACCACCCTAACTCTCACCTCGTCGACCCCTCCACCTACGACACCAACCTCGACGGCCTCGCCACCAACCTCCCGCTCCGTATAAGCCACAGCGCCGCGCTCATCGACCGCGGCGCCTTCCGCGCCCAAAAGGACTGGCAGCACGTCGTCGTCGGCACCACCGCCGCCACCGTGCCATTACCACCAGGGTACGTCGGCACCGCAGGGCCCGAGTACGGGTTCCTAGCGGTGTGTGTGCCCGACACGCTGCCCGACCGCGCCGAGCTGGTCGGGTACATCGTCGAGATGGTGTTCCTGCTCGACGACCTGGTCGAGGCCGCCGAGTCGCCTGCCGCGGCGGCCGCGCCGTACCTGGCTGATTTGCTGTCTGCGAAGGACGCGCTGGAGAAGGGCGGGGATTGTGTGGGTGTGGGCGGCGGGCGCGTCGCGCGGACGTTTGTGGGTGTTGGCAGGGCGATGCTGGCGATTGATCCTGCCTGTGCGAGGGATGCTTTCCGCTGGCTGGAGGTGTCGGTGAGGGCTATGTTGGTCCGTTTGGGGGGGAGCAGGGAGCTTCGTGATTTGGACGAGTACCTGGACTATCGACGGGTGAATGTCGCTTCGCAGTAGGTTTCTCTCCCCAAAGATGCACGTGGTGGAGCAGGGTCAGGCCTAATAAGGGGATGAAAATAGGTCTATGTTCGGATTGGTTCTCTTTGCCATGGGCCTCACCATCCCGGAAGACCAACAACAAACGTGCCTGGAGCTTTCCGAGGCGTTCTGGCTTCAGTTCGCGCTCACGAACGACTGCCACTCCTGGGAGCGCGAGCGGAAGGCGGCGAGCGACAACGGCCAGTCGTCTGTGACGAACGCCATCTGGATCCTGATGAACAAGCACTCGATGAGTTGGGACGAGGCAAAACAGGCGTGCCGTGACAAGGCCAGACAATACGCTGCGGAGCATGTGCGTGTCGTGGAGGCAGCTAAGGCGAGGGATGATCTTTGCCACGACGCCAAACGCCTGCTCGAATGGTTTAGGAATGCGATCAGCGGAAATATTGTCTGGGGACTTCAGTGTCCTCGCTATAATGCTGATCGGACGTTAACGGCAACACAGCTCGCGCTGGCAGAAGCTATCCAGGCGGACGAGACACTCGGTTGGATTTGGGGCCAAGAGAAGAAGGCTATAAACGGTATTGCCAAACATGCGAAGGCTGAGATCAACGGGGGTGTTGCAAGCCGTACTGCCACCAACGGTATTATCACCACTGGTATTGTTATCAACGATGACTCCCACCAAGAGATGGAGGTTGTGCAGGACGTCCCGAGCCTGGGCACAGATGTACGTAACAAGAGCTAGAGGCCGCGTTCTGGTCGTTGCAAGGGCTGACCAAATGTCTAGGTTCTCGAGGCACCATCGCGCTACATTGACTCTTTGCCCGGAAAAGGCATCCGTCACAAGGCTATCGACGCGCTTAATGTCTGGTACAGGGTGCCGCCGCAGCAGGCCGCCATCGTTTCAAAGGCCGTCCATCTTCTTCACGGGGCATCCCTAATGCTGGATGACATTGAGGATTCTTCCCGCTTGCGACGCGGGAAGCCGGCGGCGCATTTGGTCTTTGGAACCATGCAGACCATCAACTCGGCCGGGTTTAGGTTTCTTAACGCCCTCGAGGAAGTAAGGAAGCTGGATAGCCAGCGTTGCATGGATGTTTTCTGCCGTGAGTGCTAAGCCCTTGGCTAATATTACTTGTAGTTGACTAACTCGAAACTAGAGGAGCTCCAGGATCTCTACGTCGGACAGAGCTATGATCTCGCCTGGACGTGCAACTTGAGTTGTCCGACCGAGGAAGAGTACCTTGCCATGGTTGACGGCAGTGAGTCGAATGCCCTTTTTGATGAGGCGTAGGGGTTAGTAGCTAATCTGGGTGGTAGAAACCGCAGGTCTCTTTCGGATGCTGGCGAGGATGCTCGATGCGCAGTCGGACTCGCCCACCAAGCCGGATGTGGTCCTCATCACGCGGTTCATGACCTTGCTAGGCCGCTTCTTCCAAATCCGGGATGATTACATGAACTTGACCTCGGCAGATGTGAGTTTCTCTGTGAGCGTAACAGATAGACATGATATTGTGGCTAACCCCCAAGGATTAGTACACCAAGCAAAAAGGGTTCTGCGAGGACCTGGACGAAGGAAAATACTCGCTTCCCATTATTCACGCCCTCAGTCGCTGTGGGAATTCCAAGTCTTCGGATATCAAGTCAAAAGCCAACAGCCACGTAGCTATCCTTCAAAACCTCCTCTCCCAGCGACAAATTGCAGGGAAAATGACATTAGACCAGAAGAACCTGTTCCTTGAACATCTCAAACAGACAGGAAGTCTCGAATACACGAGGCAAGCTATGGGAGCGCTGCAACTGGAGCTGAAGAGCATGGCAAGGGAGATGGGCATGCATAACAACGAGAAGTTGGCGGGTTTGCTGGAGGCGCTGAAGGTTTGAGAGCAGACGGTACATCCCTACATACTAGTATAAACATTAAAACAGTATTGCAATGAAAGTAATACATTGGAGCACGCAACAGCAGCATCCAATTACCACGTGCAGTACAATGTTGTTACAAGGTAGAAATGCCCTAGTCCCTTCATTCACCAGATGAGTGAGATTTGCAAATGCCGGATGGGACTTGTTCTCCGTTCTAGAACTCATCACAAACGCGAATAGAAGTTCACGGGGTGGTCCGAGTTTGGCAATGCAACCCACGTTATTTCTACCTGGTAATGACTGACAGTATCCTGAACCGACGCTGGACTAATTCACCCAAGTCCCCAGAATATCTTTCCTTTAGCAGAATACAACCCAAATTCATGCTGTTGCTTCATGTGAACTCCACCGGCCACCCCCGTGGCCTCCCCATCACCCACCATCCAACTGAAACTCCCTTCCCGGACTCTCCCTTTACTCAGCATCCTGCTCCGCCGCCGCCGCAGCAGCAGCAGCAGCCGCGGCCGCCGCCTTCGCCGCGCGCCTCTTCTTTCCACCGGGCCAGCCGGGCCATCCACCACCAGGGAACCCACCACCAGGCAGCTGCGAGATCGGGCCAGTCGGGTTCATAACACCACCCTTCTCGGTCCAGAACGCAGCCGGGTTCACCGGCTTATTCGCATTCTGATCAATACCAAACCGGATCCAGGCGAACAGGCCCTCCGAGATGTCCTTGCCGACCAGCGCGTAGCGCACGATGGGGTCGTCGCCGTTAGCGCCCTGCCGGAACAGGAAGTCGTTCACGTTGGGCACCACCCGCATCTTGTTGGTGTTGTAGGGCGCGGCTTGGTCCACGGCCGTGATCAGGCCCTGGTCGAAGTAGATCTGTCCGACGTGGGCCGCGCGGCCGCCCGTGATGGTGTTGTTGGGTTGCTTGGTCGCGCCGAGGTAGACGATGGCTGGTTGGGGGGGTTAGTGAGGGGGTGTTCCGAAGGGGGGGGGGGTTCATTTTGGGAGGGGGTAGGAGGATAGCTCACCGTGGATATGGGTGGCGCGCCCGTCGTAGTGTCCGGGGAAGAGCGAGTCAAACGAGGCGACGCCGTGGTCGTCGGTCGGCTGCACGCCGCGGAGAGTGGTGCCCTGGAGGATCGAGGCGTCGTTGGGGTCGCCCATGCCGGGGTAGCCCTGCACACCGACGTAGATGCCCTGCGTTTGTTAGTCTTTGGCAAACAAACTAATAAACACCCGAGAAGGGTCGGGGGATTCTCACGGTAGAGTTGGAGCTCCAGATGTCGACGTGGGCCTCGGGGACCGTCTGGCACGTCTTGTAGTCGACCACCTGGATGGCCAGGGTCAAGGGGATGCCCTTCTCGCCACCAGTAATGTCTTTGCGGACCTCCTCTCCCTTGACGTCTGAGCATGCCGTTAGTGACCTGTAAATAAACCACCTGCATCTCGGGTATAAACTCACACAGCGGGCCCTGGTCGACGGCGGGCATCAGCATGCAAGCGCCGGCGTCCGAGAATAGCGTGCTAAGATCCATCCCCCGTGGTAACCGTCTTGTTGCTCTTGTGGTCGATCCGGCTAACCGATTCGTAGTCACGCGGGCTGTGCACCGTCCTGTAGAGGGTTGAATGTTAGCACGACAGCATCCTCTCCGCCCCAACCCCTGGTCCCCCAACCAACCCCAATTCAGAAATTCTTACCTCTTCGTGTAGATGCCCAGCGAGCGCTTCAACCGCGCCAGCTCCTGTCCATAGATCTGCACCGTCCGCTTGACAAACTCGGGCTCGTTGAACTGGGCCGAGCAGTGGGCGAGAGACTTGCGCTCGAGCGGGAGGGCCGAGTGCGCGTACACCTTCTCGTGGTGGCCCGGGTGGGCGAGGGTGGGTGCTGCGAGCAGCAAGCTCGCTAGGAAGGTCTTGAGTGCCATGGCGTTGGCGGTGATCTAAACTCACACGTCTACAGATTGAAGAAAGGATGCGCGTTGGGGGGGAACGGGAGCGACTGTCAAGATCCAGAAGGCGGTTCCCGCCCGGGTTATTTAGGTTTGTTGATCCTCTGTCTGTCCCCCCCCCTTGCCCCCCCTTCCCGCCTCCTGTTTCCCTCTCGCCCCTGCCCTTTCCAACCCAGCAAGGTATGCAGATCATGCTATGAATAATGAACCCACCCCATGGCCCGGCTCTGGGCTCGGGGGCTACATTGCACCACATGCGGCGCAGAGAAGGCACCATCAATATCCGGGTCGCATCATCGGTATTCACCCGTTGGTGGACGCTGGTAGGTTGTTTCCTCGCTAAGTCATGGGGGAAGGAGGTATGGCCAACGGTCGATCCCCCCGTCCCATATCGCCCATACCACGTCCTGACATTCACACCCGGTCTGATTGGTTTTCCCCCCAGTGCGTGCTGCCATCATAACCCACCGCCAAGACAGCTCCCCGGATTTTAATCTCCGTTTGTAAGAGAATGATGGTGAGGCAGACGAATCGGGTCGTCCGGCGAGAATGGCGGTTTAAGACGCCGGTTAAAAACGAACCAGATCCGAACGAAACCCTATCCCCGTTGGCTGCGTTAACTGAGCCTGGGCATGACGAGTCCCTCACCCCTGCTTTATCCATGTTGGCGGTGGCCTGTCGTTGTATAGATTAAGAAGGCTCTTGGCTCGGCAGTTGACCTTTGTTCTCGAAGTTTATTCCCGCATTCCACACCCAATATTCTCCTTGCCGCCTGATATCATGATACTTGCTGCTGTCGGCCTCCGGCCTCCGGTTGGGTACATATGCTTGGCCCGTGTCAGGTTGCCGGCCGCCTGCGGAGGATGGCTCGAGGATGGGTGTGACTACATATTACCCCCGGATTATCTATTTCTGTGGTGCAGTCAGCATCGCGACATGGCGGGTAAAGACTGTAATAAAAGACTAGTCTCGGTCGTCCCGTGCTCTGTCTGGTTACCCGTTCGTTTGGGTCAGACGGCATTAGTTTATAGTTATTTCTGCTGACGACTGCTTCATTAGCAGCCACATGATTTGCGGACGTTGCCGAATACTCGCATTTTGAACTGCCCTCGCGCTCCCTGTTCGGTTGTGTTTCGGACCTGATCCTTTCTCGGTTTGGACCTCCACATCCCTAGGGACCCGCTGATTATACCTTGTCTGTTGTTGCTATCCTTCGGCTGAACCTCTCCACATTCCTGACCCTCTGTTGCCAAGGGAAAAGGTTGTCCCAGCTATCTTTGAACCTCGGGAGCTCCCTCCGACCAACCATGTGTGAAGGAGCACGTAGGTAGTCTTTGCAACACCTCCAGGCGAGGAAGTCACACCCACGACGTGGTCTGAATGAACGCAATTTGAAGAATTTACCGAGTTACCCCTTCGTAACCTAACGCCAGACAACTCTGCCAACTGCCTTGGCCCACTACCTATCAAACACCACTTGTCTACGCGGAACACAAGGGGGGCTTTCGGTATCCACTCTCGGCCTGCCTAGCTTTCCCATGGGCTACTCACTCCTTCAGATACCCTTAGATTCTATGTCCCGAGATGTGGCTACCCACGATGCTAGGGGCCGGGTTGCACTGTCTAAGGACGCACCGCGCCGTGCCGCTGGGCGTGTCTGTACGCCGACGAACGGGGAGGTTAGCGAGGCTCCGCGGGATAGGGGCTGGCTAGGGAACTGCGAGCGGTGGGAGTAAGGGGGAGTTAGAATCTTACAGTCAGAATCGAGGAAGTTGATGCTGTTGCACCCCTTGGCCGCGTTGTCGGCACAAGCCTGGAGGCAGTCATCAAGCGTCCTATGCATGTCGCCTCCCGCCCCGAAGAGTGCTACGGCATCCTCGTGGCAACCCGTGGCCAGCCCGCACGTCATGCGGTAGCTCACGCCGTTGACGGTCTTGATCTGGCCTTGGAGTCCAGGGCACAGCAAGTCGGGAGGCGAGGGGTTGGCGAGCGGGCCATCCTGGGGGAAGGGGCTGTCGTCGTGAGGAGGCGCAGACGGGTCGGGGTCCTAGTTGTTTTCTCCATTAGCAACGGCCAAGGGGTGACTTAAGGGGTTTGGGACTCACGTTCGGGCAGCGGCCACCGCTGCATGCAGAGCATGCCCCCACGCAGCCCATGGAGTGGGCGCTCGCAAACCCGGGAGCGTCGATGGTCGGTTCGCCTTGGTGCTTCCCGTAGTAGCAGATCTGGCGGTGGGTGTCGTAGTCAACGCTGTGGCATGCCAGCAGCTTTCCGCAAGCCTCAATGCAAGTCTTGAGCGACGGTTGGCGGTCACGGTAGATGACCTGGGTACCGTGCCGCTGGCCGCAGTCCATATGGAAGGACTCGCCCACCGAGGACACGTAAAGTTGGCCGTGGGCAGAAGGGCATTCGGTCGAGCAGAGAACACCCGCTGAGTCAGGGGACTCGATAGCCGGCGGGTCGATGACGAAGGCATAGCTGTGGACGTCTCCTCCACACGTAGCCGACGAGTACCCTCCATCCTTGCTCAAGGTGCATGTGTGCAGAGGCTCGGACCACGACTCCTCGTGGGCCAGGAACTTGACACTGCTGCACTGGTCCGTCCTGCTGCACTCGTCCATGCACTCTCCAAAATCGGCCGTCACGAGCGTTCTGATCACGGTGCTGGCGCCGTGGGTGCAGCACTGGATGAAGAAGGTTGCCCCATCGGGGCTTTGGTACAACTGGCCGTCGCCTATTTTCCCGGGAGTGATTTCGTTAGCAAGTTTCCGTTGATTATTGGGAAGGGGTTATCAGGTTGGCTGGGAAACTTACCCGTGTGGCAGATGGGTGAGCTGGCATACGTTAGCGCCTGGCCTGTTGGTGCCACGGCCCGAGTCGCCGGGCATCCCGGTTGATCCAGGCGCGGGCCGCTGGGGGTTGTGTTCCCACCAGGCGGGCACTGGCAGCTTCCTGGAGGGGTTGTGGTGCCTCCGCCGGAGCCAGTGCCGGGGAAGGAATTCTGGCTACCTCCTGAACCAGTACCAGCACCAGTGCCAGTACCAGTACCGGTGCCGCCACTGCCAAAGGGGTTCTGGCTGCCTCCTGATCCGGTGCCAGCGCCAGTACCGGTACCAGGGCTGGAGCCACCACCACCGAAGGGGTTCTGGCTACCTCCTGAACCAGCACCTGCACCGGCACCAGACCCAGAGCCGCCACCGCTAAATGGATTCTGGTTGCCAGTTGAGTCTGCTGGAACGGCGGCACCAGACCCAGAGCCGCCACCGCTGAATGGATTCTGGTTGCCAGTTGAGTCTGCTGGAACGACGGCTGCGCCACCAAACGGGTTCTGGCTGCCAGTTGATCCGGCGCCGTTAAGAGCGTCGTTATTTGCTGCACCAAATGGGTTTTGCGTACCTTGGGCCCCGGCCTGGAGTGCCAGACCCAGGACGCTCGAGACTACCAAGCCCAAGTTGGACTTCATGATGTTGTAGGGAAGTGTGTGAGAGGAGGTGGGAGTGGTTGTAGGTGGACGGAGCGGCACTGGCATCCCGGGGAGTCCTCTCAGCTTTCTTTATACACTTTGTAACTGTGTTCCTCCCATCCCCCGCCTCCGTGTCTCAACGGATTCCCTCCAAGGAGCAACACAACCACCCCAGCATCTTGACCGGCGACCGGCGTCGAACCGCAACCGCAGCCGATCATAATGCATGGCGTCCACCTCGTCACAGCGGAGGCTGCGCAGCTGCATTGTCACGGGGCAGGGAAGAGATTCAGCGTGGGCCCAAATGTGAGACCTACAAGCCTCGTTCGTGGTTTGAGTAGGGGTACTCAGCTGCCGTCTGGGGTGCCGATCTAACCCCAGATTCAAATCCAAGCTTCGCCGGGTATCGATCCGGATCCGATTCGCGGGCCGGATCGAGATGATGAGAAATCTCCGAGATAAACAAGCGCTAAAAGAAGCCATACGCACTGACCGTCCGATAAGTTTCGGCGGGCATAGCGATTCTGTTAAGGGCCTTCGTTGGTCTGGACGCAGGCCTGCTCGTCCCGCCCAGCTCCAAGCCCAAGACTACGAGAGACACGGCTTTATTACACTCTACCTTTTCTTCCTCTCTGATTGGTCGTTTTAAAAACCTATGTTGTCACCTTGCTTCTCGAGACTCAGCTGATAGGTAGATAGAGAGACCGAGGCAGGCTGTCACATTACCTGAGGAAATCTATGTCCCAAAGAAGATATGGATGTCAATATGACGCACCCCGCATATGGGCCGCATGAATGGAAGAAGGGCCGATGAGAAGAGGCTAGATGCGTGACGGGCATCCCCGGAATCGGAAGTCGGTTTACCAGGGAGGCTGGGTCAGGAGGGACGCTCACCGCTAGGGTTCAGCTTCCCGCGTCGGTGATGTGACAACAACAAGCTCGAAATGAAGAGAAAGGGCCATGGCTTTCCCTTGCGCTAAACCCGTTGGCACAAGAGCCCCTTGTGTTTGTATAAATGAGGAGTGAGTCCCCCTTCACTCCATTCTCCCCGCTCCGTCGGCCGCATAACAGAACAGACTCTCCCTCATTCTCGCTTCCGCCCACCACCTTCCACTTACATCGGAGCCAATATCATCATCATGAAAGCCCAAAACTTGGTTCTCGCGGCCATAGCCAGCTACGCCGGTGTAGGCGAGGCTGCTGTCTGCTGGACCAACGGCTTTAACTTGCTCATGGGGGGCCAACCTTGGGGTGCCGGGTGCAACCAGCCTCCAGTAAACCCAGCACCGCCGCCGCCACCAGGTAAGCCCTGCGATAAAACCTGGCAACACGGTGCACAAACAAGCGCAACCGATGGCTAATTTCTCCCGTGTTAAACCAGCCTGCGTGCCCACCACAACCACCACCACATTCACCACCACTACCACGATCACCGCCTACACCATCAACCCAGCCGTCGCCGCCGCCGCTACAGGGGCATGCATGGCGCTCAACCCACCGAGAAACACGCCGCTTTTCGATTCAGGCGGTAACCCGGGCCTTGCTGCGTCCCCATCTACTCCGGGGGTGTACAGGTATGCTAGAGGACGCAATGGTACGACAGGGTGTTTAGGACGGGATGCTTCAATTTTTAGTACAAGTGGGCCTTTCGCGTAGGGCAGAGCGTTGGGGCGGCAGGTCGTGGTTGGAAACCCAAAGAAGTGACTTAATAAATCTTCCGGAGCCGTGTACAAGTAGCCGTTGAGCACGACTAGCCTCTAGGTACATGTGCCGCATAGTGGCATAGGTCCTGACACGTACAAATAAAAACAAACCAACCAAATAATGTCAACCTCGCTCTACTCTCTCCCCCCCCGGTATCCTGAGGCTAGACCTGGCCAGATAATGATGTGCCCGTTTAACGTGCGGGCACCCCTGAGTTCTCAAGTCTTTGACTTCTCGTAACATCTCGTTTGTGGTTTCAGGCATAGGTTACGTGAATGATAAGATAGCATAATCCGTAGTCGTCGTTACAGCCCAGTGATGATTCCGATATACTACATTGATGTCCTGGTAGAAATATCCCGTCGCCCAATCGCTATGTCTTCTCACCATCTCACGTCCAGATTCAGCCTTGGGCTCTCAACCTGGCCATTCATGATTCAGTCACTTTCAGGAACAGACCAATCAAATGCGAGGAGTGACACACAACTGAGCCCCTCTCGCTCTCCCGTCTTCCCCAACAACAAACTCTCACCAACTCTCCTCTCCGTTCACAACACCTCAATCCCCTACGAGAACACCAATCACATCGGCGTTCCCAACACCCGCAGCACCCGTCCGAATGGCAACCACCGACGCAACCGCCGCCGCAACAGCCGCTTCAGCGCCATGGTATGCAGCCTACCCCGCGCCCAAATCCGAGGTGGTGACCATCTCGCGCGAGGAAGTGCTCGAAGCTGCTCAAGACGACACCGCTTGAGAAGCGGAACTTTGTTGCTGGTTGATCTGCGGCGGAACGATTTCGAGGTATGCGACTATGTCGATCCCCGAGAGAGGGAGAGAGCGTCTGAAACATGTGACACGGCGCGTGCCCGGCGGTATTCTGAACCACGGGGCCAACCTCCGACCACCGCCTGCCATGCACACAACCAAGATAGACGGCGCCCGATCCTCACTCCATCGAAGTAAAACCCACACACAGCTAACACCTCTCCTCCCCTCACAGGGCGGCACCATCCGCAGCTCCCTCAACATCCCCGCGCAGAGCCTCCCCCTAACCCTCTCCGCCGTCTACGCCACCTTCAAAGCAGCCGGCCTGCGCAAAGTCATTTTCTACTGCGGTATGCCCCCTTTTTTCTTTTCCTTTCCGTTTTCTTCCCCTCCTCCTCCCCCCCGTTTCCCTTCCCTCGCCCCACACACCACCCCCACGTCATCCTCTAACAACCACCCCCCATCCATAGGCTCCTCCAAAGGCCGCGGCAGCCGCGCAGCAGGCTGGCTGGCCGACCACATTGCCGAGGCAGGCGACAAGGACACTCAAAGCTTGGCGCTGGAGGGCGGGATCCAAGGGGTGGGTGCGGGCGGGCGGCGAGTATGTGGAATGGGTGGAGGGGTATGAGGAGAAAGGTTTGGGCGGGGGCGGGGGAGGGGTGTTAAGTCGCTTAGGTACCTTGGTTTGATTGAATGAGGAGAGGGATCTGGGTTGGGTGGTTGATGGTTGGGGGCTGTGGTGTTGAGGTGTGGCTAGGTACCTTAGTTGGATAGTTGGGAGGTTTGTTGGTTATACGCTCATTACTCGTTCGGTGTCCGCTGGTGTGAGGAGAGGTTTGTTGCTGGTGATGCGGCTGAGGGGGCTGTCTGCGTGTCTTCCCGGTTACCACCTTTGAGTCTGTTCCACGTCGAGGCGGCAAAACTCGGCGGGTCTCGTGGTACAGCCATCCCGGCGGTGTCCCATTTGTCGGCAACCCACAAGAGCAGGAAGGCGAGGACGTAGGTGATGACGCAGACGATTATGGTTGATGTCTTGAAACGCTGGACTGTCTCAGCCTGCTCTTCCGCCTCGAATAGTGGCGTACCGAAGATTGACTGCCGATGGGGTTAGTCGTTAGAATTCGAAAATAGGAAATGGTGTCAATACCGATGTTAGGCTGGGAGGGAGATAAAGCACGGTCACGACCGTAAAGACGATGACATAGCGATTCATGGTTGTCGATCTGGCTGCCTCGCGTAGAGAAGTTGCGTTGAAAAGCTGATACCTAGGTTAGCTTTGAGTTGGATGGGGCGAGTGCCACTACTTACCCCGTCCCTCAAACTCTTAATCTCCTCGGTCTTCTCATTGATCCGCCGTATCAACCGTTCCTCGGCCCCTTTTTGAAACTCGGACAGGATCCGCCAGTTTTTCCACAGCGCCTTGTCCGTGGCTGGTTCTTCCCTGAGGAAGTACCGAACGTCCCAACCGGCGCGTAGAAAGCTGCCCTGGAGGAGGCGCTCAGGGTCCATCTCTTGCAGGTCTCGGCCGGTTTCTCGTATGATATCCCCAAAAATACGAAGAATCTCCAGAGTCTTGAAGTAGACGCGGGACCGGGCGTATGAGGTGTCAAACATGAGGCGGTTGCTAGTTTCATCGCTAAGGATATCGTTAAGCTATTCAAGAGTGAGTCGAGCACAAAATGACAGCGTCGATAAAGTAGGAGCCACTCACGTTGATGTTAACCGTATCCCCCAGCCTATCCAGGCACTGAGACCACTCTTTCTCCCAGGACATCAGCATGCGGTGAACAGCAGACTGCAGCATGTGGTAGCCGGCATTCTTGCCTTTTACGGTAAAGTGGCGGTCCTTCCAATCTGTAAACAAATCATTGGATGCCTGAGATTCCTGTTTCAGTGATTGAAAGTCTCCAAGGAGCACAATGGTGAAGGAGAGCTCGCCACTCAGCTCAGACCAGCGGCACAGTATAGACATGCGGCGTTCAGTAAACAACGGACTGGGCGCTCCCGGGAGGGCTGGGAACTGGCCAGACTCGCGATGGCAACGGACGTAGGGAGCAAAGTCGCTTTGGTCGTCAACCATAACGTTGGAGAAGCAGCGGATGGTGTGCTGGTACGATATCTCGTTGCTGCCGGTCCAGCCGTTGAAGCTGAAGCCTGTCCCCCGGAAACGTAGAGGTTTCCATGGAGCACAAAATACGTGCAAGAAGTCGTGCGCGGTCTCGAATTCCTCCTCCGGGTTCACCAGGCATACAGCGGCAATGAGTGCAAGGCGGCTCAGGGGAAGAACTCCGTTGGCCCATATGGGGGTGGTAAAGTGCCTGGGGCTAGTCAGTACGGGGCAAGTGACGGGGGCACAGCTTGAATAGGTAGTTCTTCGTTACCAGAGTGCGCCAGGGCTGACGAGTTCGGGGTATGTCATCTTGCTAACGAGAGCTTTGGCCTTGTGGCACTCATCGAGAATGGAGTTTGCCGGTGCAAGCACCTCGCCGGGGCCATAAACAAGGGGACATGCACAGAGCATGCCGTTGCGGCGGGTGTCTTTGCCAAGGATCCATCCGGAGTGCCTCGAAACGCGCTCGGTTAATCGATCGAGATCGAACTCGACGAGCCATTGGGTACGGAGGTTCTCGAGTTCACCGTCTGCCAAGGACAGTCCATGGATCCTCGAGCTGAGCCTCCATTCCCACTGTAGCTCCAACAGTCGACCGCTGGGGTTTGCTCTTCGACTGGGAACATCCGGCGAGCTGAGGAACACTCGGACCTGGTGCACCGGCTGGATAAAATTGCCCGAGTTACGCGATGATTCACTGGCTTTTGAAACCCGCGATAGGACTAGATCGCGGAACCAGTCCAGGTGTTCCCGATAGCCCGAATCGAATACCCTGTGGGCAAGGTCGTCGACGAGTTGTATCGCTTTTGCGCTCACGACAGAGGGCTCTAGCGGTGAACAATGAGGTGACCCTTTATCATTTATGCTTGGTGATAATGATGTATCGGTACTCGGCTGAGTCGGGTCTTGGTCGACCGCCTTTTGCGATGCTATCTCTCTCAACAGCCGATTTGTTTCTTGCAGCTCGCGGAAGAGGTCGGCTATGTCGAGAGCCGGTTTTATTGCGGAGTCACTCCCTTGCTCCGATTCTAACAAAGTTGAAGACATCTTGTTGGGGTTTCGTTCGAATTTCAAATCTTGCGTTAGAAAGAAAATGTAAACTTGTATTTTTTAGATTTCTTAACTCAATGTTGATGCCTGAGCTGCATCCCCTGACTAATGCCACACAGGGCATGGGTCCTTGAAACGGCATTTCGGCGGTGATACGGCGCAGCAGGTCGGATGGGAGGAACATGGGCGGCTGGGCGGCTCCAGGCCATGGCGAACATGGGTTGGGTGATGGTTACGGGCGCGAGCTCGGTGCGGCCCGTGCAGGACCCACACAGTCTCCCCCCACTCCGTCTTTGTCTCGGTAGCCTCAAGCATCGGATGCATCCGACGCGACGCGACATCGCCGACGACATCACATAATCGCCAACCACCAAAACGAGCACCCTGACGAGTCAAAACCCCCGATACGAAATCTACCCCCAGCCCACCAACCGAATTTTAACTGGTAAAATATTACTGCCAAAATGTCGTCCCGCAGACCGCCGAGAGGAGAATACATCGAGACAGACACGGGCAATAAAGTGGCTCGCAAGGCGACCCTCGTGGGAACCCAAAACATTATGCTCGGCGGCAAGACCGTCATTCAACCCGAGGCCATGATCCGGGGCGACTTGATTCGGACCATCCAGGCACAGCCACAGTCGGGTGGTGCCGCTCCGAATAACACGGCCGTGTCGATTGGGCGCTACTGCTTCCTAAGCCGGGGCTGCTGTCTGCGTCCCCCAGGGCGTCTGTACAAGGGGTAGGTTTGCTCTCTTGATATCCGACACCTCAACTACTCGCAATAGCAAAGATACTGACCATGCGCCACCGCAGCGCTTTCACCTTCATGCCCCTCCGCATGGGCGACCACGTCTTCGTCGGCGCCGGCTCCGTCGTGCAGGCCGCCTCGGTCGGCAGCCACGTCCACATCGGCGCCAGGGTCTCGATCGGCGAGTTCGCCATCATCAAGGAATACGTGCGCATCCTCGACGGCACTGTCGTCCCTCCCAACATGGTCATCCCGAGCTTCAGTATTGTCGCGGGGCAGCCAGCCCGCCTAATTGGAGAAGTCCCCGAGGGCGGCCACGAGGCGTTCGAGCTGCGCGATCTCTACAAGACGGTCGGCAACAACCCCCAGCCTATGCCGGTATGAGGGCGCATGGCGGAACAGATATTTGTGAGAGGACAGTTCTGGCGAGTACGTATCCGATCGTACCCTCGCCAGGCGCCACGAAATGGTCGAACTAGTGATACCCAGCACCTACGCAAAAAAAAGGATTGTGCCTAACAAAGTTCCATTTTTCTTAAAAAGAAAAAATAAGAAAAAGAAAGTCGGCATAGGAGCCTGCCAAAGTCATGATACCCTTCAGCGTCATTTGCCAATATGTGCATACCTCTGGTCTGTCACCCCGGCCGACTTGAGCTTCAGCCAGCTTTCGGCGTTCTCCTTCACGCTCTCTTCCAGAGTCCGCCAGCCGTCCTCCTGACCCAACCTAGCCAACAACCCAGCCCCCCGCTCGTTCGGCACCTCGGTTTGGTCCCACCCCAGGTCCTTGACCTTGGCCATCTTGTCGGCGTGCTCCGGGTACAGCTCCTTCAGGATCTCAGCCACCCGGAAGAAGCTGTACCGCGCGCCAAACGCAAACACGCGCTCCCTGTCCACCACAGGCGCCGTCGCCAGCAACGCGACGTACAACCGGCCAGCATCCCGGCAATCCACAAACCACTGCGGTTGCATCATGTTGAGCGTGTCCACGTGGATATTCTCCCACACCCAATGCGCCATCCCCGCCGTGCTCGGAATCCCCTGGTTCTCCGGGTCCAGACACTCCCCCAGCACCGTATCCAACAACACAGTGTTAAACGCATACCGCGGCTGCTCCCTCCGCACCCACTCCCACACGCCCTGCTCAACAAGCGTCTTGAACGCCATAAACCCCGCAAACCCCTTCTCCTCCGCACTCACCCCGGCATCCCTCGCCAACGCCACCGCCTCCTCATTCCAACTCTCCCCCGTCAACCTGATCTTCCTCTCCGCATCCGGCGTCCAAACCGCCCACGCCGACGACGTAAACGCCACCGCCTTCACCCCCTCCTCCCTCCGCGCCGCCTCCAGCATCCCCACCTGCCACTTCAACTCCTCCGCCGCCGCCCCATCCGCATCCTGCACGCTCAAATCCACCGCCCCCAGCATGTGCGCAATCCCCGCCACCCCCGAAACCGCCGCCTCCCACGCCCCGGGCGCGGAAACGTCCGGTATCTCGTGCAGCGTAAAACGGCCCTCGCCGTGGCGTGCGTTGAAGAGGGGCTGCAGGTAGCCGCAGCGGGCAAGGGAGCGCACGGTGCCGCGCACCCGGAAGCCCGCGGCCAGCAGCTGGTCGGTGATGTGTGAGGCGATGAGGCCGTTGGCGCCGGTGACGAGGATGAGGGTGTTGGGGGGGAAGGTGGGGGAGTGGTGCGTGGGGGGGATGTGCAGGGGGGGTGGGGTGGTCATGGTTTTGATGGTGGTGGGGCTTTCTGTTGGTGGATGGTTTGTATGGTGCCCGGTTGTTGGTTGTGGAATGGTTATGAAGGCACTGATGATGGGTGGGATGGTTGGTGGTTGATGGAGGGAGGAAAAGGGAAAGGCGGGGGTTTAGGGCAAGCTCGGGATTTACATTGTTTACTCAATACGTGGGTGTGTAGCACCTGCGTTTCTGTACGACCGCAGGCAGTGGCGTTGCTCGGAGTTCAACTGGGGTAACCCGGGTTATATGACAGTAGCGTATTGCCTCTACCTAGGCTTCGCACTGGGCAGCTACCTCCTCTGTCTTGCAGCCACTCGCAGTTTGTATGGCAATTGAGGGTGGGTCTTCCTGGATGTACTGCGTCGTTGGCCAGTCGCCAGACCCTGATCCGTACCTCCTGACTCCTGGCTAGGTAGCATAGCACCAAGCAAGCCGTGTTCAAGCGGTGGACATACATACCCCTTTTTTATTTTCATATGACTAGGTAGTAGGATCCAACCGTACTGAAGGCTGTTTCTACGATGCCTAGAATTGCGAGGGCAGCTACATGGAATTACCCAGTGACGTGTCATTTGTGGTACCTATATTATCAGAGAATCTATCTACCCTTTTCTAACTCCGGGTTACTACGAATAGCTGTCATTGTCAATACCAACTCCATATCACCGGCGACTTTGACATACACATTTCAAGGGACCCTTACTCAGCGACATGGTCGTTGTTGACCTCTTCAAGATGACTGTATCCGATATTCGGCGCTTCCCAAAGCTTCTCCGACCTGGGCCAAACAACCCCATTGGTACTTTTCGGTGTTCCATCGTGCTTTTCATAAGCATGTGTTGCATTGACGAATATCAGGCTCTCCTTGTCCGCAACATAGCCGTGTGATGCGGTGGTTATGGGTGCCTTTTTTTGGTTGTTTTTGATCTTTGTAACCAAAGGTCAAGTGATCTCCGAACGGGTAATGTAACCCTCCATCGGGTCCCCGCCGCGACCCCTTCTCCGCCGTCGAAGTAGCCAAGTCGTCCTCGGCCGAGACTCCTGCCATGACCACATCAGTATTCAATCATTAAAAATGAAAGTCTTGGATTTTATCGAAGACAAACTACTTAGAAAGCATGTGCCAAGGACCCTCCGCCAGAATCGCCGTTTAAGCTCAGAAGCACGCTACAAGCTCCCGGAAAAGGGCCTTGCTAGGCGCGCACCCCGCCCGAAATTGCTAGGCGTGCACCCCCTCCCCGCCCAAAGGGTTAGGGTTTTATATGGTCGCAACTAAAACAAATGAATTACTCTGCCCCAAAAGCGAAAGACTTCGCAAAACAGCTCAATTCTACTCGCTCAGACTCCATACACTACGTAGAACTACCACTATTTAGACCTCCTGAGCCGCACCACGTAATTTAGCCGATGGTTTGACCGCTCGGCCACTCCGAGTCCTCGTCATGGGGGGAGACGGGTCCTGAACGGCTTGGGTTTGCGCTGCAGAGCCCGCCTGAACTTGTTCGCTTGACTGTGAGGTCGTAGAAAGCACTGCGTTGCGCTTTGAGGCTTGTTTTCGCGGAGGCGCAGCCTCAGGAGCCACCTCAGAAACCCTACCCCTTTTCGTTGCCTTCGGCGCCGTGAGCAAGGATGGGCGCTGTGCAGCCTTGATCTTCAACCTCTCGAACCCTCTATCAACCTCTGGAGACTTCACCAACTCCACTTGTGACAGCCTACGACGTATACTGGGCTTCAGATGCGGCGCAGTACCCTTAGGGGGCCTAGGCTGGGTCCTCTTGCGTCGCTGGGGTGTCGGCTGAGCCTGGGACAATGGATTCGAAGCCCTGGCGGTGGGGAGCCTTCTGGGGGTTGCCGGAGTACTGGAGTTCGAGGATTTGATCTGAGTGTGGCAGATGTCGGTGGTTGGCGATGTTGAACCTCTGACCCTAACCCTGGAGGGTGCGCGCCTAGCAATTCTGGGCGGGGGGTGCGCCCAGCAAGTCCCCCGGAAAAAGCGTTTCTCTTCGGCTTCGAACCTTGCCGACTATTCTGCAAGCTGCTGTACCGTCCACTCTATGTCGTGATTAACGGCTATCGACGGTGTCCGGTCAGTCAGCCAGACACACACAGATAGTACGCGGTAGATTAATGGATTCCCGAGTCTTGAGATTCTTTAGCGTTGCGGTGATCGGGATGGGAAAAATTCCCATCTTCCTTCACTTGGATGGATGCATAGCCTGGGCAACAACGATTCCCACCTTTATCGATCGGCTGCCCGATCGTTTTCTCAAGTCGCATCTATGCGTTTCTGCCCAACCTTTTTTCTTGTCGTCTCGGTCCATCCATGTCTCTGACTGTCTCGGCCTCTCCTCTTCAGGTCGTTGATGGAGGGACAAATCAGGCCAAGGATAGAACCATGCACGACGAGGCCCGAGTCTGCCAGCACCTTTCACCAGTGTTTACCGCCGTGACTTCAGCTTGGCTCTTCGCGGGTAAGCTGCACCGAGACAGCTTCAAGGCCCATCAACCACCACAGCCTTGGGACGCTCCTGTGCAACCACGCGCGTGCGGGCTTTACGCCAAAACTCTTGCGCAAAACCGTGACTCCTTAATCCGAGTTCTAAGATGGATTCTTCCTTCCCACGAGTGTTGAGTTGGTGGCATTGGAGGTTTAAGGTGCTCCTTATGTGACTGGTTCGGCGTAACCCTAACCCGCTCATCCCCATGTAGGTTACCCCTGAATGTAACAACAACTTCTTTATTCCATCCACAATGCATAGGTATTGAATGCTTTGATAGACGTGGAGTGAGCAACAATAAAGGTAATGGCCATGATAAAACCTTAATAAACACTGCTCACCTCCAACCTGGGGCCTGGTACCCAACGGCACATCCACCTCATCATACACCCGAAAGTCTCCAACAACCGCCCCGACAAGCCACTAACATGTGTCTCCTCTACATCCCCCAACACCCCTGGTGCCACTGCCCAGACCCAACCGCCGTCGACAACCTCGGCAGCCTCCTCTGCAACCACCACGTCTGGATCGACTCGACCAGCGTCGCCCATCTCAAACCCCTCCCCAGTTCAGCCTTTTAATTACTAGACACAGTATCGGGAAGAGTAAAAGGAGGCCGGGGCTGGAGAAGGTGCAATATGTCAGCCGCCCCAACACTTTTATGCCTCTGGGAAGTAGAAGGAGACAGGTATGTCTGTGGAACGTTGTGTAAACTCCCGGTATGGACGTATTGCGTCGCCTTGAGTGTGGGTGATCTTCCGCGGGATATATATATGGATGATAAACCGGGTCCTCA